TGGAAAAACCCGAGGATTTAATGGATCTAGGAGATTAGAAGCAGTGAATACACTCTCGCTGTTGAGAAGGATTTTCAGACATATCACCAATCGTTTCCAGCCACTAGCTGGTCACTGTTCAAACCTATAGGCGCTACCTTAACATGGTGGTTGGGTTTACATATCACAAAGACCAAAAGAGCTACACAGGCTAGAACTAATTTTCGTGAAAGTTCTACCACTCTAGAATGATCGCTTGGATAGCAGTTATACCAAAAGCAATTACCATTATAATGTAAGCTGTTCACAATGTGCTATGGGTTCTATGGGTGAAGTCGTACTGCTGACGAATAGGGATGTAACGACAATGGGGTTTTTCCCACAGACAACAAGTAAACCCTCTATGCCCCTTCTCGGCTCTGTGGGATGGCGTTAGAAGGAAACTGACCGCGAAAATCGTCCATCTCAACTTGCCTTGTAGCTGTCCAGAAACGCCAACAAGCCTTTAATGTGGACAGAAATCAATAACTCACTTCAAATGGGCGACTTTTTATCGGTTTGAAGCAGCTAACCACAAGAGCTCTGTGATTGTGTAACACTAATGCCGCTTTCTTCTGAAACCCTCTTAAATTATTTGTGAATTTTATGCCAATAAAAATACCTCAAAGGCTGATAAAAAAATTCAGCAATAATGACAGGAAAAGACATACTGTAGGCATTATATTTAAAATATTCAAATATCAATTTTAGGTCGTATTTTTATGCCTAAACTCTAGAGAGATAAACGATAATTCATTGAAGGAAATTTTCTTTATCGACGAGATCATCTTCAGAGACTGTACACTGGCATTTATGTTTACCAAAATGTGTAGTAGTCCATTACTGACATAATTGGATGGACTTGCTTCAAGATTCACCGAGAAAAACATGAAAGTAAGCCGAAAACCTAAAAGAATCCAGACGGTGCCGAAGAAACTGCTATTCATGAACGTTGAATTTAAAGGTGATACTGCAGCTGAGATTCTAAAAAATCGCTTATCCAGATCACTGAAAAAAGCCTTCCTTTCGACTGAGCCACAGATCAATTTCTACAGTCAACATATGACCAATGGATATGTAAATAATAAACTGCTGTCTTGGGCCACTTCAATGTGTGTTTGTAAATTCACCTGCTCGTGTGAAGCTAGTTATACTGGCCGCACAAAGCGCACACTTTCCAGACACATCTCTAAACATAATCCAGAGTGGTTGGTTAGCAAAAGAAAACGCAAGACAATTACTAGTTCAATTCTCGAGCAATTGGCGAACTCTGACCGTGCGGCTGCACCACATTCGTCTCTAAAGATTGTCTACAAAGTGACACCAAATGGTACAGAGAGCGTTAGGTCTTGACATTTGTGTATGGCGCAGGCGTTGGCAATTCGTCAATACAACCCCGAACTGTGTATAGCGAAAAATGTTATCCAATCTCTTATTCTAACGTGGTTTTAACTTCTTCATTAGTCATTCCTTGTAATTTTTAATTTTAATGATTAGTTTACTTCTACTTTAATAATTAATTCACTATTATCACTCTCACATGTTCCTTTTGTACATTTTCTCACCCTCTTTACACTTGTTGGATGGACACTGAACAAATTTTCTCCCCACTCAATAACAGTTTTAACCTTATCAAATTGCTAATCCTTTCTTCTTTTGTGCTGTTGAGTACTATGTAATTTACAACCTTTATTTTTACTTTTGAAGCCACTTCTGAGTAATTATATTAGTTATATCACCCTTCGTATTACTCAATAATGGACTACAATACAATTTTGGTGAATATAAATACGACTGTACAGCCTATGAAGATGATTTCTTCGATAATGAAAATTGTCTTCGCTGAATTATCTTTTATTTTCTTCATAACTCAATGGGTATTTTCTGGCAAGACAGTTCTAAAATCGTCGGGTGCTTTCGTATTCTATCGATTTCTACTTCATCAGCAGGCTATGGGAAACTGTGCTTTTATAGATGTTGACACGAGTTTTTATGCTAAGTGGTTTATAATCTATACCAGGGAGTATTCAGTCGTGTTTTCAATCCATCTAAGGAAGAACTTAACACATGTTTGATATGCCTAATCATCATTATTCACTTACAGATTTAACCTACACAGATCATGGTTTAGCTGATGACTGTACAACTGTGTCAAACAACTATAGAGGAACTGTAGAAAAATAGACAGAAATACAACAAGTGCATATTAGTACACATACACGACACCAAAATGGATAGAATTTGAGACTTTCAGGTTACGGGGCTAAGCTCGTTGACCAATCAGGCATTTTTGTGATCCGTGAATTTTAAATTCTGTCAATTCGTAATAGAGCGCCATTCATAAGTGATGCTTTCAGTGAGCATCCATTTCACCTTGACAGACGTTCTCCAAACCAGAACGACAAAACTCTCTAGTGTCCCGCAATTTTTTAACGTTTTCTAGCTGGTGCTGGTCCATGAGAAACCTACATGGAAGAGAACTAATCAGTTTTATGCTTTTTTTCAGTTTTATACTGCCACCGATTTTTGTTTTCAGTTATAATTAACTCATTAGCAAATTTTCTTCAAATACACCTCCGACTACTTTTAATGTCTTCTCCACTAATTAGTCAAGTTGAGGAAATTAACTATAAAGCTTTAAAACTTTCAGGAATAACAGTAGATTTTCGAGAATAAGTCAACTGCTATAACAGTTGCAGATGGTTCAGTGACAAATTTAGATTATTAATCATAATGACTATGTAACAATGCTGCTCACATTAGTAGTTACTGAAGTAATTAAGCTATTGAAGCAACTTTCTTGAAGAAAAATACCGAAACTTCACACAGGTCGTAATGGCCAAATCAATAATATTTGAACCGTGCAAACCATGGAGTAAATGTTCTACGTCTTACATTCCAAGACAAAGATATGAAACTATAAGGGATACATCACTGTATCTTAATTAAAGTACAATGTTTATTGTGGCACTTTCTACAAATTAAGTTTGTATCTTCACCAGAAATGCTATCAAGAGGCTTTACTTGAGGTTACTTATGAAATAAACTGCCTTGAGATTTATTTATAATCCATGTTTTGAAAAACATTTCAGTCAATGTTAGATATTGCACAATATAAAGCAAGCATAAAATTTGCTTAGTCGACTTTAGACCACTATCTGAAGATTTAGTGCACACCTGTGAATAAAAAAATAAAATGAGTAAAAACTTGATAGAAATCTCTTGTGTCTGTAAAGTTGCATGAGCACTGGTGATGTACTGTAAGGAAAGATAATCTGTGAATTATAAATCTTGCAGAGAAAAATTCAAACCTTAAGGAACTTTCAGGTATATATATTTGAGTGATTACCAATGGATTTACAAGCTTTTTGTAGGGGTAACTTTGCATATACAAAATCTGATTCATGAGCTGAAGATTGTCAACGATATTATTTTTTTGAAAATCATTAATTTTGTGAAACTTGATTAGATATTTTTAACCAAAGGGATTATTTATGTTTATAAGTAAATGAGACTACCGCTTAACTTAGGAATTTGCCTAAGAACGATGAATTAGACGGCTTGGTTAAATATTGCAGACAGTTTTCCAACAGTTTATATTTTTTATTCTGGTTGCTCGCAACACAACTGACTGAAATGAAAGTCACTTTATCACATACATTGAAATAAAGTGATAGGGTGGATCGTCAACCAAGTGACTTTGCATGTACCAAGCTGTAGGGAACATTTATTGCTTTGCGTGATGGATTGCCGTCTTCTAAGTATAAGAACGTAAAGCAAAAATAACGGGGATAAAAGATATAAGACGGTGCTCCGCTTAGGTATTATAAACAGTAAGCTGAAGTAAATTCAGATACATCTGTAAATGACCGTGAAGAATTAAGTAAATGGGGGTATGATAAACACAAAAAGGGAAAATTGGCCACGTTTGTATGATAAAATTGTCCGAAGCGTTGTAAGAACGAATAACACTAACTAGATGCACCATTTTCCTCAATTCATATATATATAGTGTCAGTGATAGTATTTTATTATTTCGACGTAAGCTATGAGCTTTGATAGCGGCATACATTTTAGAAAAATTATTGGGGAGATTTGCTATTTCTACATCTATATATGTCGTCAGACAAAACTATACTTTTCAAAACAACTTATACAACTTACTTGAGAATATTAGTATAACATCTTGTTGCCCAAATACAAAAAAATAAAGGTTTTATAATGATCATTCGAAGAGCGGCAAAAGCTACTCTATTAACAGAGGATAACTATTGTTAATGAGTGTCACACAAGTGATTGAGAAATATACATTTCAGCGTAGAACTATTATACTTGCGAAAATTCACAATGATGTTCACATAATGTATGAGAAAAATTGGGTAACTCGAAGTGTTTCCAACCTGAAAATGTGAGATGAGTTAGGAACTTTGACATCATGGATGGTTAATATCAAGAGATACCGGTACGGGGAATATGGGAAACTTGGGTGAAATTGACAGAAATAGAAAATGTGATATATATGGTTTTGAATTTCTCCCATTTCCTTGCGGTAAGGGTACACATGTTGGGGGCTTCTTATCCTCAATCAATCTTATTCAAATCTGACTACCCAATGGGAAGGTCAAACTATAACAGACAACAAATTAGAGTTACAAGCGTTATAATCAAATCAAATTATGTCTTCTGTGCTGAAATTGTCAACAGAATCTCAGAAAGATCTATTGATTTATTAATCTGCAGGTATTGGATTAATTACAGTGACTGAAACACGTATACGCCGGGAAAACTTGACAGGTTTTTCAAAGAATTGGAATTTCACGGCTTCCCACGAACATCTGAGTGGTTGATCCACTAATTAACACTCACCTCCGTGTACAAATCGCAAGTGGCTAAGTAGCATCTTTCTTATCCACTAATTAGAAGTAGCTAACTGCCAGTTATACATAAATGCAAATGGTTGTGAGGCAACATTTCTTTTTTCTAATTAGATAAGTATTAACAAATATTTAAAAACATTGCAAAATGCTGGAAAAACGTCGTATTTAATAGTTACATAATTAGCTTACTTGTGGCGTAACTGCAACTCGTCTTTCGTTAGTGAATGATTCTTTGGGAACGCCAATACGTAACTCAGTGAACGCGGTACCTAGCTGTGTTGGGTGATTCGTTGTGCTGAGATAGCGATGCCTCCAAATAACTAGTTTTGCATTGAATATTTGGTGACTTTTATTCACAACATGCGCCCGACAAGCGAACGCAATAGGAGCCATTTACATATGACGAAAAACTATACGAAAACCATATTCGCGCTAAGCATTTAATGTTCAATTCAACACAATAAATAATAACTACTGAAAATCTTTTAATTCCTTTATGTTCATATCTTTATGGTCATAATTGATTTCAGGTCATCATCAAGTTGGTTGATGGTAAGTCCAGTCACAGGACTGAAATATCCACAGTAAGCCCGGAAATTACTCCTAGTGAGTTAAAATTAGAGGGAGGTGTATGGTTACAATACCCAATGTCTTCTTGAACAGCCTGTTTTTCCGTTGTGGTTTCCTGACCCTCTGTTCTTGTTTTTCCAGATAGATTTTTGGGGGATTTCACTGTGATCTATCTCCTTGACTTTTGCAGAGTTACTGGACACATTCGGAAAGCTAACATTAGTTTATTTCAGGGATGCATAATTCGTAAGGGGTAGTGACATCTCTCAAAATTGCAAATTTCTTTTTGCCAGGCAACCATATGGTTGTGTCAGCAGACACATCAGAGAAAGCAGTAGTAGTAGAGAGGGAGGAAGAGTGGGAATCTAGAGAGTTAGTAGACTAAACAAATGGGAATTTAGGTAAGAGGAGAGATGGTAAGATAAGGAATATAGCAAGAGCGCATGAATATATAGTAAGCACAAAGGTAAGGAATAAAATTAAACTAGGATGAGTGGAAAGAACTGTGCAGCGGTAAATAATTTCCAAGAATTATTGGCCACAGCATTCATCACTAAACACTGGATGATGACACTCACTGCTTAATTCAACTTGTTTAGCTGAGGCTTTTCGGCCAAGCATCCACGCCATTTGATACTCCGTTGTATCACGTTTGTTCGTTCGTGCACGATCCTTAGCTAGCTAAGCAGTCATCTCGCACTCCGATTTGGTCCCGAAATATATCTCGTAATTTGGACGATCAATTGTGGTGTGTTTGCTTTGCCTTTGGTATACGCGGAACGAATGCTATAGAAGTTGTGGGTATTAGACCTTGCATTAGTATACCTCGTACTATCCGTGAACGTCAACATCCTCAGCCTCTCAAATTTTAAGTATTATGGTAATGTATTGAAACAAATATAGACAAGTCAAGGGAAACATTCATAGCTCTGTGTTGAGTGCTACTTACAATCAGATATGAGTGGTGCATCAGTAAACAAATTCAGAAAAGTAACAATGTGTTATGGGCACTGGCGAAATCAGTCGAAGAAGAGAACCGTGAGAAGAACTTCACAACACTGCGCAGAATCCAACAAGCTATCGAATGTGATGATATACAAATTTGCAATGATTTTCAAATAATGCACTGAAGATAAAGTATAACCAATTTATGCACCTATAATGCGTTTATCTTACCAAACATCGCCTTCGAGCCTCTTCGGTGTTATTTCCCTTACAGTACCACTACTGTTCCCTGAAACTATCATATTTCCTTCATATTTGTACTTCAACCTGCTGTTTTCAGTGACCGTCTAGCATCTTCTTGAAGTCATAGAATACTGGATGATGTGGGTGGTAAGTGCCACAATTTAGACCTTACCGATTTTGATGAGAAAATATGTAAGGGTTGCCTGGACAGATCTCATCATGTCTTTCTTGCAATCTATATCTAGTGGGGTGCATTGGTCTACTCATTATTCTGCATACCGTGATGATATCACACCTCGTTCTACTGTAACTGAAATTATAAACACGAATTTGTCGCATTTGTTCATCATACGCTCGACTTTCAAGTCAAATGAGATCTGGCCACCTGCCAATGTACTCTTTTTGGGAGATTCACATCTCTTTGAAGGGGTGGTGGTACAGTGACATTATTAAGTTCGAAATGTGATCACATGTATGCTTTGAACAACTGCACAGAAAGTCAAGGTTTGAGTGCTCTCTGGGGCCCTTGAGTGGTGTAGGTTGCCCTATTGACTTTGGCTGCGTCTCCCGTGAGGTGGTAACTTGCCTCGATTTCCTCATTCCGGAGCAGACCTGGATTACCGTCTACCTGCGTGTGACAGAGTTCAGTTCTGTGTAGACGGCAGGGAAGCCGCTTCCCTTCTAGAGTGCAGGTGAAAGTTATCCGACATTATTGAGTATTGTTAGCTTATACAGGTCAGTCAGGTATTCCTGCAGCTCATCCTTTCGCAACTTCACATCAGCTGTGTAGAGAAGCAGTAGGGAAATTAACCTGCTATGCCCACAACCCTGCAGTCGCCTTTCCACGTAAACAGCACATTCCCGGAAAATTTAAGAAGTCGGTGACTCACTAGTTCCCTTTTTTGTGACTTTACTGAGCAGGACTTCATGAGACACTAAGTAGAAGCCCATAGCAAATATGAGGAGCAAATTGCGGGCAGAAATATTTCAGTACTGGCATGCTATCCAACTTTTCTAGTTTTTCAACGTATTGGCAGACCTAGAACTTTCCTTTCTGAATCAATCTTTGGCCTCATGCAATATGTTCATCTGACTCAATTGTTGCCTGGCTTGCTCATCCAACAGGCTTCCATCACTTTTGATATTACTGGAAGTGGCCCTGTTTGTGTAGAGTAGTTATGGTTTTCCCAATTTTATCACCAAAAGAAGTTGGTAACGTTGTCCACATGCGATCTCCGGGCAAGTGATGTAATAATAATAGTATATTCTCATTTTTTACATGAGGGAAGCCAGTTTATAGGCATCATCAATATGATAAATTACATATACGATTAGTAAGCATATTTAATAATAGTAATTTAATAAAATACATTTTTTCCTACCTGTGTAGGACACACCAATTGTACAGGCATGGATAAGTATTATTTAAATTACATAAATTTGGTTCATGGTAAAATTATAAGGTTGCAGTCATTTTGTCTATGGGAACAATATGATAACTAGTCATTCAATGGAGCACATCAAGAAATATAGAAATATTGTCTTCGCATTAACAAAAAAACCCAAGTATGTTTTGGATGGATTACAAATACTTGAGAAAAAAATAAAGCTTGAAGTAATTCCTCCATATAACTTTTGTGTGTACGGCATCAAGTCTTATTCTTGATTTATATCCATATTTGATAATAATTTAAAATAAGTAATGCACTTGTATACTTTTGTCAGCATTTTCTTCGTAACATCACAAGTGAATAGTACTCAAGGTAGACTATAATAATGACAGCTTATATTTTCTTATAAACGGGTGTTTTCAAGAAATGCAAGCTATTTTTGCAGACACGATCAGTTATGTTGTAAGTTATAATCGTGAAGTATTATAAATCAATACTTTTTTATTGGTATAAAGGTATAATTCACAACTGTAATCCAGGTTGCGTCGTGGGGAAAGTTAATGCGTAATTCATGAGGGAATTGTAAGACATGGGACCAGTAATGTTTGCAGATCATTTGTCATTGTAAATGGGCAAATATCTACATTCTTCATTCTCATTCAAAAAGTCAAATGGAAGCTGAAATGGTGAGAGACAAAAGAAGACAAACAACAACAACAACTCAAAAGAAAGCAAGTGGAGTACTTAGGGAGTGATTAATATGTATATATACATTTATATTTTGTTTAGTAATTATAGTTATTTTGGTGCACTAACTAACTATTCCCGTGATGCTTACTTTTATATTGTGTGAACTAATATTATTGTCCTGTGTAAAAATGTCTATCATGTACTTCCAATAATATAAAAATTTATAATTGTAGTTTGTTGTAACCACACGTTTAATGAACTTAAAATATCTATGTTGGGCGAAAAAGTGGGTGTAGGGTTCAGACGCAGAAGTGCACTGTCATCTTTGAGCAGTCTGGTGACTGAGGAGATGAACACTGCGAGTGTGTTTGCATCGCGCACATCAGCTGGTAGTCTATTCCAAATGACTGAAAACTTATTTAAGAAGAAATTATACCGCATGTAAGTCTGACAATGCTCTATAGCAGCTAGGTTGTGATGATTTCTAAGATTGTAACTGATGACAGCGGTAGGTTTAATTATTGGCTCGGAGGAGTGCACGAGCAGATTAGTTAGCTTGTAGTAAAAAATCAGGTTTAGCTTAATACGTCTTTTCCAGAGTGGTTCTAAACTTAGTCTGTCGCAACGTTCATAGTACTGGAGACCACTTTCTAAACCAAGAATTCTTAAGGTGAATTGCCGTTGCACACCTTCTAACTTAAGCTTGTCATTTTGTCTGAGTCCGCTAAGAATAAACGGGCAGTATTAGAATACTGCCCGTTTATAGGTCGGACACATACTTTATATAATAAAACCCTAGTTTCACAACAAAAGGAATTGCGAGTTATGCATCCTAGGAGCCTTCGTGTTTTACGTCTGGCATAATCAGTTTGTTCAGAGAACGTTAAGTTACTAGAGTATCTGATACCGAGATCTACGACTGAGTTGAGCTTGGCTAGTTTACGCCCATTTATTTCAAGATTCAGGTCAAGGTTACTGTTTCCGATACAAATCCAGCCGCATTTATCAATGTTGAACTTTAGACAGGATTCAGTACACCATGTTGCGAGACTACTTAGTTCAAGATGTATTTTATTTGCCATATCGCTTAGTTCATGAGGGTAGCAGGAGTAAACGACTTTGAGGTCGTCAGCATATAGGAATGATTTACCTGAAGTGAAGCAGTTGCAAATGCTGTTAATGTATACTGTAAATAAAAGTGGACCTAGGACACTACCTTGCACAACCCCACTTGTGATCTGCCTAGGATGAGACAATACAGATCCAACCTTGGTTATTTGTACCCTATTGCTTAGAAATGATTTTAACCAGCTCAGTAATGGATTGCGAATCCCACATGAATACAGCTTCTCAAAGAGAATACTGTGAGATACCATGTCAAATGCCCTAGATATGTCGAAGTAGAGGACAACAACTAGCTTACGTGCTTCGCGACTACTAGTGATGCAGTTGAAAAAGTCGAAGTGGCAAGTAACGCAAGACCTATTTTTGAGAAATCCGTGTTGAGACCTTGTAATAAGATCTTCCTTAAGTAGATAGTCTGACAACTGATCT